ATTATGCTCCGACTCTGATGCCCGCTAAAACGGCGGTAAGATTTTGGGAATATTTTACTCGGTTTTGTTGGATGTGTTTGTTGAGTTTATGGACTGTTTTCAGAGCAAAGAAGGATATACACAAATATTATGGCTCCTGCCGTTGCGGGATGGGGAGGGTCAGTTGAAGCACCACATCACAGAAGTTGGTAATGCTCGGGTGGTTAGTGAGTTCGTCTTTCATCCAGGAGGTATCTGGTTCGTTTCCCGGCAGGTTCTATGAATGTATTCTTTGTGTTTGAAGATGATAGAGGTGTTGAGATCGCTACTCCGCCGACTAAGGATATAGTCCTACCGGGTATCACTCGAGATTCGGTAAGAAATGCATGTTGAATGTTATCCTGACTTGTGCATTTTTTAGGTTTTGAAGATTCTGGGGGCCGATGGAAAGGTGCGAGTTTCGGAGAGAGATGTTACTATGGAGGAGCTTCTCGAGCGATATCGCCGTCGGGAGGTATTGGAAATTTTCGGTAATAATCTGGAAAACTTCGTAAAAGTGCAGGATAGTGGATTCTGGAGAGGAGTGGTATGATTAATGCCCGCATGCACAACTGAATCAGGTACCGGCACTGGTGCGATTGTATGCCCTGTTAAAAGTGTAACGTATGAGGACGTTGAAATTGATGTGAGTCATTGCTGGTTGAATAATCGATCAAGCGATCGATTTGGTAGGTACCTGTAGATGAAGCAATCGGGGCAGGCCCGATCTGCAGAAAGATACTCGATGAGGTAGCAATGGATTGAATGCACATTAACGGCGTGTTCAATAAACCTCTCTTGACCTTCATGAGCACTCCCTGGATGGGATTTCACATTTGAAATTCGGTCCTAGGAGGACTCTTGAAACTGAGGAAAGGTGTATTGGACACTCCGTGAGCTTACTAGGAGAGGAAAAAATTGCAGAAACTGTCAGAAACATATGTATAGATTTGGGAGTTGTTATTAGGAGATACGAGAGGGGTAGATTTGATGTCTATTTATTATCAGATTCAGGATGCTCAGCATGGGAAGGGTCCGTTCGCAAGTCTCTGGACCAACGAATGGAATGAATCAATGAGGATTTATCACTAAGTACCTGCCTATAATCTTCCTGGCGGCATCAGCTGTTTCTATCAGGATGGTATATGTGATTTGCGTTACTATATGCATATGACATTCCATACTACTACTGTAGTTGTAATGTCATTACTATCGGGCCCTGTGTTCCGACGACTGCAAGCTGAGCTCTTTGTATGATTATAATGAGAGCCTTCTAGAGAGCTGATAAGGAGTTCTTACTGGGTCGGCGGCTTATTCGTCGTTGACCAGTTACCAATTCACTTCCCATTGATGACGTTGATCCCGTTACGGGACTCCCGCATGAAGATAGGCTCGAAAAAATTGAGTGAGTTTCTGGTAGGTTAAGAGTTGGTGAGAGCTGGCGACGCGAGAGTAAAGCCCAGGTTGGTAGTCTGAGGATTTCATTGGGCGTGGTACTGAATGGAGTCGACTGAATCTATGGAGTTTCGGAGAAATTGTAGTAAGTTGATGTTGGTGCCCAGCATACCTGCCTGGGGAAATTTATACGGCGGGATGAGAACTTCAAAAATGTAATTTGTCTGGAAGGGACTTATACTGTCTCTATAAATACAGTTATGTTGACATTGGGAGCAAATGATAATGCTATGCGATGCTTTGACCATTGCTTGCGTAGTATCTCACAGAACTCTTCGTCATTGTGAAGACGTCATGTAGAGTTGAGGAGATTTGACAGCTCAAGAGGGGAGTAGCTATCTACTCGTCACACAAGGTTCATCGGACACACCAGTCATGTTTCACAAGGGACCACTCCTACTGTTCCCGCTGTCGCCACCATCCCGGACCATTTTAATTTGGAATTTCGAGGACAGTAGGCGTATCAAGGTTATGTGCTATCTTGACTTGCTTTTCAATGTATAACGGCAAACGCACCGATTTTGGGAAGCACTGTCAAGGTTTCACACTTCTCGACGGCACGGTGATCGGCTTTTACGCCAACTGAGCTTTCGTTAATGTTCAAGTTGGCGCTTGCTGCTAGGATTCGTAATTTGAGGCACTACGGGTGCAAGGATCTAGCAGCTGCCGCTACCGTCAATACCGCTCACGGCAGTCGTTTCTGGTCGGCGGGGAGGGTTAGTCGAACTGGCCATGAAGTTCATGGCATGAACTAACTTGCTCCGTTAGGCTCACCTCTCGCTGGCCACAGCGAGTCTATTTTACACATCAAATTCAAGAGCGGGGATGAGTGTAAAGTTGAGTTGAGTTCACTGAACTCCTCTAGCTACTAGTCCGCTTGTCTACTAGTCTTCCTACTAGTCCCCTGGCTACTAGTCATCTGGCTACTAGTCCGCAAGACTTCTACGCCCGTCAGGCCTTGCATTGATCTCAAATGGTTGAATGCGCACACTCGAGTATCGACTCAACAAGTTGCGCTCGGGTTCTGGAGCCTGTCATCAGGACAGTGTCTTTGACACCTCCGTCGCTGGCGAACTTTCTGCGCACATTTTGAGGCCATCATTCTCGTTGATTTGGAAAGGTGGCTGTTCAAATACATAATATAACTGCTTCAATTAAACATTCTCACATCAAAGATGCATTTAAGAATCTTGTCCGTTTATTGTTGGTGTAGCTTGTGTTACCTTCCGACTCTGAAGCGTCAGTTTTAGAAGCCGTGTCACTCCCGGAAGTTATTTTCCTTAACGGAGCGAAGCGAGTTTTCATTTCTTCTTTTTTACCCGTGATTTCTAGCAATGAGAACACTATCCATGTCTACGGCGTCCTCCGACATTGAGCGTTCTCAAGATAGGGAGCTCCCTTTGATGAAATTGTACTCATCCAAGAAGACGCCGTTGGCTTTCATGGCACCGTGGTTGACGGTTGATGGAAAACCTGAAATGGTGAGGAAAAATCGACTATTTTGGGGGAGGTCTCGAAATGGTTATTTTTTGTCGTTTTAGGCTCATTTCGGATATTTTTTGAAGGTTTTGAAACCCTGGAGAATCTTCATCTCATTCTTTCGGAAAAATCTTCCGTGAAAGTGGAGAAAAATTTGTCGATAATTTCCAACGATTTTAGATCTCTCACAGGTATTTTCTCTCTATTTTCTTGATGTTTTGAATATGGTTCAGAAGTTATGAATCAGAACATATATTTTTCAGACTTTCCCTCCGCCAGAAGAGCCCCACAGCAGCCTCTCCGTCGATTCAGTTCGAAGACTGTCGATTTTATCCAGTCTGAATATGCCCAATCAGAAGGGGACCGATTTGGACGTGAGCGGGGTGCCGGGGTTGAACCGGGGATCTCTCGACCATTCGTTTTCTTCGCTGTGCGCAGGTATCTTTCAGGATATTTCTCAGATTGATACCATTCCTGATCTAGGAGCAGAAGGTCCGAAAGCTGCCCCTCCACGAAGGGTTGGATTCCTGCGTAGAATCTTGGACATGATTTTGTGGCGCAGTGACAAAAAACCACCGAAGAGAAAACATGAGGAAGTTGAGGAGGTCAAGAGATTCGCAGGTTCGACCTTAGTCGACGTCATCTTCCCCGAATTCAATTCGGGGGGAATTCTAGAACACTAGAAGAAAAATTCGGCGACTTTTTCTTCTAGTATTCTTTTTCCTCTCGTTTAAAAATCTTGGGGAATTCCTTCCGAATTTTTTCCTTTGAAGTTTTTATTTTTTGGAATCACATGCGTAAATTTTCCCCTGAATTTACTCTTTTAATGCAAGGTACTCCAGCACCGAAGGAAAGAAGAGTCTCGAGTGAGACTCCGACGACCGCAGCCACAGTACCAGCATCAGGCTGGAGAGAAGAGTCCGCGACTAGCGTGGAGGAAATGCAAGATTCGCAAGATGAGCAAGATTTGGAGAATAGAGAGGCTTTTGTGGAGGTAGAGGAAAAGATAGTTGTTGCTGAGGAGGGAGATGGGGGCGTTGAGGAAATGCAAGATGAGCAAGATTTGGAGACAAGTTCTGCGGAGGGTTTGGATAAGTCTTCAGAGAGGAGTCGAGGGAATCGGAAGCGACAAGAAGAACAGGGTGTTGGGGAATACTCGGCGAGTGATGAATTTGAAGATGAGAATGGTGCTTGCTAGTGATACATCGGTCGGGTTGGAAGGGCCGGCAGTTATTTATATAACGTTCGAGCATTACTTGCATAAGCTGTAGTTGATTCATTAAAAGTTCATCGATGAGGATATTATCAGCTGTTTCGTGTGCTAATGGTATGGGTTCGCGTTCTTAGTTGGGATGGTTGTGGGTTCCATTCCACGCGTGGGCATTTTTCGAAATGGCTGGAGTTTATTCGGAGAATTAGGTCGATCAATCAGGATAACAGTAGAGATTTCAGTATGTACATATATCCGTGGCAATATGGAAATTCTCGAAGGAAATCTTGGGAATTTCTCATTGGTTTCTGCACAGTTCTCTCTAAATCGTGCGTAAAGTTTCGTAATATAGCAAGGTAACTGTTGAGCTCAGCTGAGGAATGCAAACATATTTCCCAAAACTGAGAGTTTTATGCTATCAAGCTGGGGCGATTTCGAAGACTGTCGATTGTGTTCACAGCTGAGCCTCTTATGAATGGGGACAGATACATTGTGTGCTGAACTATGGGTGAATTCAGGAACGTATTTGATATCTAGAAAAAATATTAATTCTGTTTCAACCGTTTTCCAATGGGTAATTTATCCCGATATAGAATCCCTCCCGATTCGGGCAATTTTCCGAATGGAAGTCGACCATGCAAACTACATCAACTATAGCGTATTTGCCTCAGGAACGCACTCTCTGAAATGAAGTTCTCGGCGAGGTATTTATCACTACGTTGGTCCGGTGTGGGAAAATATGGACATGGTCAACCACAGATGTGGATATCGTGGGAAAATTATTGGTTGCGGTACATGTCTACTGCAATTCTTATGTGAACTTGCATAATTAGTGGGGAAACTCGTGAGCTCGGCAGCTGAAGAAAGCGATTACATATATTCATACTCCAACACTGTATAGGAAACTCCTGAGCTCAGTAGCTGAGGAAAGCGATTACATATATTCCTACTCCAACACTGTATAGGAAACTCCTAAGCTCAGTAGCTGAGGAAAGCGATTACATATATTCATACTCCAACACTGCGTCGGGGATGCCTATGATCGTCAGTTGTGAAGAAGCAATTTATCTACACAACTATTGATTTCGAATCTGTTTTTCATCACCATGAAATAGAATTTTAGTACTTAAGTTGAATGTCCCACTGTTTCCTCAATTCCAAGGAGAAGTTCGTCTCGGACGCCTTGGGCGGTTTGGTGACGACTTCTGCTGGTTCCATTGCTCGCCTAGTTACGACGGATGAAGATACGCAGGTAGGTTCACTCACAAAGATACGAAACAGGTCCAATTGGAGCCCCTCAGGTGATCGTGCGTGCAGACTGGGCCAAGGATCGAGTTGCTGTTATCTCTGGTGGCGGTAGCGGCCACGAGCCGACCCATCCAGGGTTCGTCGGCAAGGGCATGCTCACTGCAGCAGTGTGCGGGTCCGTCTTCGCTTCCCCCAGTGTCTCTGCTATTCTATCAACAATAGTTCACGTCACCGGCCCAGCCGGTTGCCTCCTAGTCGTCAAGAACTACACCGGTGATCGCCTCAATTTCGGCTTAGCTCGAGAGGTGGCTAAATCGAAGTTCAACTTGAATGTCGAGATGGTCATCGTTTCCGACGATATTGCTATTCCCGGTTCTGCCCAGCCCCGCGGTATCGCCGGCACTCTGTTGGTTCACAAGATAGCCGGCGCCAAGGCCGAGACCGGCGCCAATCTTGAGGACGTTCTGAAGGTCGCTCATGCTGCAGCTGAGGGAGTTATGTCCATCGGTGTCGCATTGACTGATTGCCATATGCCTGGTGAGGACACTCGAGTGAGCCGAGTGGCCCCGGGTACGATGGAGGTCGGGCTGGGTATACATGGGGAGCCGGGAGCGGCCACAGTGCCGATACAGACTGCTGATGATACTGTTGAGGCTTTAGTCGGTAAACTGCGAGAAGCTGCGAAAAAAAGAGGGCGAGAGTTTGGGCGAACAGTGCTATTGGTGAACAACCTCGGCACGTGCATGCCGTCTGAAATGGAGATCATCGCTAACCATGCAGTCTCCAGTGTGAAGCCAAGCCTTGTAGTCGGTCCGGCGGCTCTGATGACATCTCTGGACATGCACGGCTTTTCTTTTACGGTATTACCCCTCACAGATGAGCTCGAGCAACTCCTGAGAGCTCCTACTGCTGTATCGTCTTGGCCGACGGCGAAGGTTCCATCCCCGGCACTGTCGATTTTCGCTCCAGAAATCGCCACTGAATCAGCTAAGTTCGTCCCCAGTAAGAACCCTCTTTATCGTTCACGACTAGAAGCAGCTTGCCACGCTGTGATCTCTTCTGAGAACGAACTGAACAATCTTGACTCAGCTGTGGGTGACGGCGACTGCGGCTCGACTCTGGCGGCCGGCGCTAGGGCTGTTCTCAGCAGCTCAGATGAAGCTCCTTATGGTGACGGTAAAGACCTGGCTTTGTGGCTAGCGGAAGCCTCTGACCGCATCGGTGGGTCCTCGGGCGTTCTTGCGGCTATATTCTTCACTGGTGTGGCGAAGACCGGCGACTGGTCGGCTGCTGCTATCAAGGCCGGCGTTGATTCAATGACCTTCTATGGAGGTGCTTCTGTTGGTTCTCGAACGGCCATGGACGCTCTCATTCCCTTTGCTGATGCTCTTCTATCGGGGAAGTCAATCGAAGAAGCCGCGGAGAGGGCTCGTGAGGGAGCTGAGAGTACGGCTAAGATGGCCTCTGCTAGTCATGGTCGGTCGGCTAATGTACCGACAGAGGCGCTTATGGGTCGAGTCGATCCTGGTGCTGTTGCTGTCGCTAGAGTTGTCAAGGCAATTGCTGATGTTGATGAGTGAAGGAAAAAGTATTCCTGTTGATGGTGTATGAGTTCGATTCATTCTTATCGAGGATTTCTATACTCATCCGATTGCGTTCAAGTCTGATGATGGAAAGGAGATCAGATAACAACTCGTTGTTCGAACATCGTTGGCTCAACATGCACTAGGGAGTCGCGATAGTGTATTGAACTAGACCTCATTCACTTGAGCCAAGTAGTTTATGGAAAGGGCTTACGACTCCACGACTGGTGTTGAACTGCCTTAGTGGAGTTATAACGGCAACATTAGTTGTAAGGGACTCCACCATAGCTGAAATGGTTGTTAAACTCATTTCTGGCGGTTCTGATTCAACTGAACCGCTGAGAGAGTAACATTTGGTTTCGCATTGGTCATTCGTACCCCTTCTAAATTCCGTCGATCTTACTCCTAGGCTGGCCCGAAACTGCTCACCCGGCCTCGTCTACGCACGGGCATCCACATGGAATAGATTCAGGCAACTTGAATGGTCAATCATCGTTTTGCCCTCTGCATCTCCGTAACCCGTTACGGCGCCCTAATTTTACGGTACGGGACTTGAAGCGTAACCGTAAAAGTAAAGTTGCCATTAGATCGAGGTTACTCAATAAGTGTTTTTTGGAGAGTGAATGACTTCGGAAAAGGACGGCGGGAAGGGTTCGTACATTCAGTAGTATTGGCCTTGCCATTTTTCTATACAGGGAATGATCCGTAAGGTATTAGAGACAACACACCCTACAAGAAAGGATCAGCGGAATTGAAGTGTTTCATTCTCTCGGTGATTACTGATGGAAACTCAACAGTACAAGGAAATGACAGTTGGAATGATGAATGTTATCAAGTGTATATTCAAAATCGACGATGCCCTATTGGTGATGATGATGGTGACGACTATATGTTCCTATCGCGGCTACCTTGGTAGAAACGCCTTTGATTTTGCTTGTCGCCGTTGCGCTCTTGTTGTGGGGGCTCAAGTAAGGGAGAAGACAGTGAATAGCGACTTGATACCGGGGTACTCGACTGAGACACGATCGCAATCATAATAATCAATGATCATTCAGCGATGAGGAAATACAAGTGCATAACAACTTACCCGATGGGACGCATTAGGACTGCGCCTCCCAGCCGGCCAGAACACGAAAAGTATCAATATGGACGGTATCAATTCAGTGAGTAGGAAAACCTAAAAATGTTTGAGCGGAGCGAAGCAGAGTATTATGCTCGGCCGACCATAGAATCCCAGGCCTGTCGGTCGATACTTGGAGGGCATACTGTCTTGATCAAACCGACACCGTACAAGACGCCACTCATTCCTCGCACTAGGAATATTAGCGGGCAAGTTAACGTCAACACGAGCACCTATACAAGGTTGATGCGGAGAGCGAAGAATTGAGCCGATCTCACCCGGTTGATGACGGACTTGTTGCGCTGTTGGCCCAACTGGCGAGCGCTCCCTGACACTTGTCTTCGAGATCTGTCACGAAGCTGACCGGACACTTGCAACTATAGTGAAGGGACGATGGTGTCCGAAGTGGAGGGGTCGGCAAGCTCACCCCGTAGTAGAAGAAAAGTACTGCACAAGTGATATAAAGGAGTCCAACGACGAAGTAAATATATCTGCCAGTTGTTTTAGATTGTGCATTCATCTGTGAAGGTGTTACTGATTGTATTCTTCCCAAGCTTGCAAGAGAAATGTGACAATAGAAATAATAAGGAAAACGCCGTATCTGGAAACGCAGTGGGCTGATGAGCCATAGCTTCTCATAGAGATGTTCTCACACAGCAATGTTTATGAATATACAAACTGGTCGTAGCAAGGGATGCGAAACCAACACCGCAGCATAGTACACCTGATCAGCTGTACTAAGGGTCTTCTATTGGAACTAACGCCCAATCTTACTTGCGCCCAGAATAAAATGACTATACTGTAGGTAGAGAGGAAGAGCAACGAAGGGAATGTCATGAAAACATCGTTGGTCCAGGCCTGAGGGGCTAATGGTGGAGATAGGCTGAATGGGATGGTCCTACCTGGACAGGGTGATTCAGATTGTGCATGCGAACTTCGAGGTGAATGATGGCATCAAAAATGAGGGAGAGCGCTCTGGCAGCATTGGAGATGCACAAAGTCAATAGGAAAAGGAATCTTGTTCGACCACCAGTTAGAGATATCGGCGGTATCTGATAAAATACCCCATGCTAGGATTGAACCCACGACCATCTGATTCATGAACAAATGTGCTAACCAACTAACCTAAACACTCACTGCATCAGCTCTCTTCTCCTCTCTCCTCTGCCTTATCAATTGCCGCATCAAGAACACCGCTACGACCATGAACAATCCACAATCGATGTAGGCTAGCACAGCAGCGTACGCAGAGTGGTGGGCAAAAACATCATTTATAGTAGAGAGAGCCTCATCCGCCTCCCTAGCCGTGGCCAACGTTATAGATGTAGACATTTCGACAATGGCAGAAATTCTGCAATATTTGCAAGTTCAGATGAGTTTCAATAAATAGGAGTTTCATTGACATTATGAAAAACACTAGTGAAAAATATATTTCACGACTACTGCATATCACCGCGAATATCGCGTTTTTCACAGAGTATTACGACGCCACTTCATATAAAACTCCAATGATAATATCAACGTTATGGCCACATATTTCATGTCGTATCGAATTCATGTGATCCCAACACGAACAGTGTGGGAGAATATGCACGTGACCAACTACACGTGTTGGTGATAATGTCGAAATTCCGGGAGAAAATTTCGGGAAATTTTTTGTTGCTTTCTCTATACTACTTCTACCCGAATTTTCTTAATTAGTTCGGGAAACTCCCGAGCTCAAATAAGGAAAGCGATTACATATATTCATACTCCAACACTGTATAGGAAACTCCCGAGCTCAGCAGCTGAGGAAAGCGATTACATATATTCATACTCCAACACTGTATAGGAAAACTCTTCTGAGCTCAGCAGCTGAGGAAAGCGATTACATATATTCATACTCCAACACCGCACTTCCGAACACCAACCTCCATAAAGAGTGAAAACATCTTAGGGAGTTTCGCAATAATATAACAACGATGAACTACAATACTATAACATTGGAACCAGCAGCAAATTTACAAAAAAATTGACAACCTGATAACGCAGGGATGGTGATGATGACGACCCTGGTTCGAACCCCGGCTCGGGCATTTATTCTAGTAATTATCCAATATCCAATTGGTAGCATCTTCAAGTGTTGGATGCTCTTTTATGGCCTCGGCAATTTGGTTTTCGGGGAAGCCGATCGCAACAAGCTCCGCTGACAAGAAAAACGACGTCGCCGAGGATCGAACCATGGTCGCCCGCATGGCAGTCTACCCACCTTTCGTATTCGCCCGTTCCTCCTCTTCCTTCGTCTTCATATTCACACCTTCCTCCCCCCTAGGCTCCGGGAATAGGTAATCCAACACCTCCTCATTTCCACATGCTGTTGGTGCATCCTGACCGGCCATCTCCCCCAACTCCGCATCCAGGCTCGCCACCTGCATGCACCGTCACGCGCCACCAAATTCCGAAACTGCCCCTTATACTACAGCATTCGGCCCCTGCTGAACAGCGCCATTTCCCACCACTACCGGAGGTGGCGGCGGTGGCGGCGGAGGCAACGGCGGGCTCCGCGTGGGCGGGCGCGTAGGCTCGCGCTCTCTAGCCACAGCAGCCAGTTCGCTATCGACACCCTCTGATACCTGCTGGGAAGAAAAACTGATACCAAAACTTCACCAAATCATCAGTACATTCGTATGAGATCTACGACCTGTCGATGCGGTCCTGGGCGGTTCCCCTGTGAGTAAATCAGTTGGACCACTGCTCGGCTCAGCAAACGGATTGGTATTCCCATAAGTCATCTCAGCAGGTGGAGGAGGGGGAGGAGGAGGAGGAGAACTGCGAGGGAGCCCAACAGGGTGACCTTGTCGAGATGCTGCTGCCGCCGCTGCACCAGTAGAATCCTGATGTAAAAATGCAACATGCAGGGATCGAACCTGTGCTTACTACCCCAGAATGATATCTGTTTCCACCACCGTCACCACCTTTCCTCCTTCGCCGTCGGTCATGATTAGAAACGGCTGGCCAGGGTGCTCCGAAGTTATCAGGCGTGGGCCAGTCGATGGCATTGTTCATCGCTGGGGGCGCAGACGGTTGCGGGTACGCGCTACTCTTCTTCTGGTAGTCGGAATTACCACGCGCCAGGGATTGCCTGCGACCACTCATGCGTAATCCAAAGATCCCCGGTTCTATTCCCCCCCTACAGTTTTTTCTGCAGCGCGTCATTCTGACCCATCAGTGCCGCTGCCGACGGCGTTGGACTGCCACCATATTGCATTCCCCCTCCATGAGGAGGAGGAGGAGGAGGGGCCATCGGATTGAACACATTCCCGGGCGGTGGTGGTGGCGGCCCCCCATACCCCTGGGCGAAACTCTGGCCATGCCTGTGCCCCGGGTACTGCCCTGGTGCCGCCGGCATCATACGTTGGTTCATGTAGTTGGGTGGGTAGCCCTGCATTAGCCCTTGGGGTAGGGGAGTGGGAGGAGCCGGGCCCCCTTGCATGACCATTGGCGAATTGCCATATCCAGCAAACCTGGAAAATGCCCCTACCCGGGATCGAACCAGGGACCTTTGAACATTACACATTATTCCGCATGTCAGGGTTGGGTGCTCCCCCAGCAGCGTACATAGGACCTCCCATCGCAGCCTGTTGCTGTTGGGCTATACTCTGGCTCTTCCGTTTTAGTTCCCTCAGCGCCTTCGCAACCTCCACGAAAACAGGCCGCCGACTTTCTCTGGAATCAATCTAAAAATGCCCCTCCTGGGATTCGAACCTGCGCGGCTCCCCCCTCCCTACACATCGCAAGGCCAGATCTGCCAACTCAGAAGCTATGCCTGGATTCCAACCGCAACTCCATTGTATCTACTGAAACTTTCCCATACCATAATCTCGCCGGTTCCTATCACCATATTCCACAACTTCTCCTTATTAATTCCCTTATACATCTCCGTGATCGCCTTAGTCCGCGGGTCCTGCAGTGCCGGGGGCTTCGTCGTGAGCAGTTCCAACAGGACCATACCGAAGGAGTATCTGCTGTCACCAGTACCCACTTTCTCACCCCGACAAGCTCTACACCTCTGATTTTTCAGTTACCACCGACGTTGAAATATACAAAGGATCTGCATAACCTGAATTGGGCCTATTCCGTATCTTACACGCTCGAACCTAAGATACTCACCGATGGTTCCAGAACACATATCAACCTTCTGGCCGTCGTCCCCCTTCGCCGTCGCCAATAATGCCAGGCCGAAGTCCGCCACTTTGGCGTTGCCACTTTTATCGAGTATTATATTTTGAGACTAAAACATGACAGTGTTGTTGGAGTATGAATATACGTAATCGCTTTCCTCAGCTACTGAGCTCAGAAGAGTTTCCTATACAGTGTTGGAGTATGAATATACGTAATCGCTTTCCTCAGCTACTGAGCTCAGGAGTTTCCTATACAGTGTTGGAGTATGAATATATGTAATCGCTTTCCTCAGCTACTGAGCTCAGGAGTTTCCTATACAGTGTTGGAGTATGAATATATGTAATCGCTTCCCTCAGCTGCTGAGCTCAGGAGTTTCCTATACAGTGTTGGAGTATGAGTATATGTAATCGCTTTCCTCAGCTGCTGAGCTCAGGAGTTTCCTATACAGTGTTGGAGTATGAATATATGTAATCGCTTTCCTCAGCTACTGAGCTCAGAAGAGTTTCCTATACAGTGTTGGAGTATGAATATATGTAATCGCTTTCCTCAGCTGCT